AGTGTGCTTTTTATTGTTTCTTTACACGCGAGAAAAAGAAGCAAAAGATCAACTTCTATCCTACGTTTCTGTTCCTGGTTTAGACAGATATAATTAAGAATCCCATAACTGTATAACTTTAACTTTTTCGTTGTTATGTAGTCTTCTAACTTGATCAATTTTTCCAAAGAAAAAAAAAAAAAAGAAATTGGCGAGCGTGCTACGTGCCCTCAACTTCTATCCTCTATGTTTCTGTTCCTAGTTTAGATAGATATTATTAAGAATCCCATAACTGTATAACTTTAACTTTTTCGTTGTTATGTAGCCTTCTAACTTGATCAATTTTTCCAAAGAAAAAAAAAAAGAAACTGACGAGCCCTCAACTTCTATCCTCTACGTTTCTGTTCCCGGTTTAGACAGATATTATTAAGAATCCCTCGAAACCCATAAATGTATAACTTTAATTTTTTCATTGTTATGTAGCCTTCTAACTTGACCAATTTTTCTAAAAAAAAAAAAAACAAATTAATCGACTTTAAGGGGTCGAAATTCACAATGAGTACGTTTTTTATTGTTTCTTTACACACGAGAAAAAAAAGCAAAAGATCAACTTCTATCCTCTACATTTAACTTTAACTTTTTCGTTGTTGTCGCCTTCTAACTTGATCAATTTTTCTAAAAAAAAAAAACTTCGATAAAAACGCAGTTGTTGTTATTCACATCAAAGATTATAAAATTCCTTCTGATTTTTAAAATATAGCCATTATTATTCGATAGAATAATTCTTCGAATGATAAAAAATTTTGATTGCAATGATGGATTCATGCGTCATTTTCAAAACCTTGAACTATTTCCAATCGACTCTCAATTGCATATCATTTAATGAGTTTTGAGCTTTTTATTGTTTCTTTACACACGAAAAAAAGAAGCAAAAAATCAACTTCTATCCTCTACATTTCTGTTCCTGGTTTAGACAGATATTATTAAGAATCCTTCGAAACCCATTTCGTTGTTATGTAGTCTTCTAACTTGATCAATTTTTCTAAAAAAAAAAAACAACTTTAACAACTCAATTAATTACTCAACTTTAAGTGCTCGAAATCCACGATCATGAGAAACTGAGAAGTGTTTCTATTGTTTCTTTACACACGAGAAAAAGAAGCAAAAGATCAAATCTTAAATTCCATCAACTTCAACTTGATTTCAAATCGAGTTGAAAATACGCAATCGAGTTCACGAACCCACTCTCTCTCTCTCTCTCTCATTCAAGAGAGCCCTTGACCAAACAGCCGGTCGGTGGACGACGACGCAAAAGGGGCTTAACAAGTTGGAGCCTCTCGTGGGAAGCAATTTCCCAATAATTGTGTACGATTCGTCGTTATTCTTCGTGGAAGGTTTCCGACCGTTTAAGGTCGGGCGACCTTTAAGGGAGGAGAGAGAGAGAGAGAGAGAGAGAGAGGAGGGGGAGGAAGAGAGACTTCTGTCCGAGAGAGCGCCGAAGACCACCTACGCTCGTCTCGCGTTACGTCTCGCATTGTCGCGTAGGACGATTGTTCCTTGCCCATTCTGGTCTATCCTCGTGAGAAGGGAGATGACTCCCCTTTTGCTCGAGGAGAAGGGAAAAAAAAGGACGAGCAAGACGCAATAGCTGGCAGAGGACAATAACGCCCGCGAATTTCTCCAAGAAATTCTTTGGAGACATTGAAACTGGACACGCTTTGCTCGTCAATGTCACAAGTCGTATTATATCGATCTTTTTTCAATTGTTATTGATATTCTTAATATTTCTTAATATTGGAGTTATATAATAATGCAAGTTATAATTAAAAAATATTCGGGCTCATTGAAATGGACGAAGACATATACGATTGATAATATCAAACATATATGAATTACTAGCTTGAAAGATATTTAATTCCTTTTTTCGAAGATTTTCTATTTATTGAACTCTGTCCTTTTTTATTAAACAACAAAAATTATCGACTTCAAGAATATTTAATACTTTTAGACTCGTTCAAAGAAGACATACATTGATCGCGAATTATCGACTTGAAAAATATTTATAACCCCTTGGACACGATGATTGCGAGTAATTTAATTATGAAATCTTCTTTCGAAGATTTATTGAGAATTATTCCATCTCTCTTAACGTCTCTCAATTAAAATTATCGGCAGAAATTATCTTTTTTTATTTTTTCGAATATTAAATTCCCCTCCTCCCCCTATACATCCTAATTCCCTCGAATCA